AATATATGGTGATGTATTACATGAAAATACAGAACATATGCTATTTTACTATATATTTCCATATTTTAATATACTAGTTATCTTTAAAATATAAAACAAAAGACTGACTCATATTATTTCAGACTTTGCACCTAATGTTATATACCGATAGAGTTCTCTGTGGTTTACAAGGAGCCCTGGTGGCATAGTAGTTCACCAGTTGGGCTGCAAATGACAAATGTTCAACAGTTCAAATCCACTAGTCATTTCACAAGAGAAAGATGAGGCTGTGTGTTCTGGTAAAAATTTACAGCCTTGAAACCCAAAAGGACAATTCTACTCTGTCCTATGGGTCAGAACTGACTGGATGCTATGAGTCAGAATTGACTACATGCCAGTGGTTTGGCTCCATGACTTCCATTCTCTTGTTATTCAATCCTATTTGCAATGCAGTAAAATAAATAAGATTACAATAATTTTATATAGGAAAGACAAGACGTGACCAAGCAAGGACTTGAACCCAAGTATTATGACCCTAAGCCTAGTATTTTTCTCATTATGATATATACTACCCATAGTCTAAAGTTCCCAGCTAGATTCATGATAGTTTAATTAATTTTCACTAAAGGAAACACTAATAAACTCAGACCCTCTCTTCCCAACAACAAGAAGAAACCATCCTCTTTTAGGGAAAACATATAACCCTGGATATATGTTTAATTCTTAAGCTTCAACCTTTGCTCTTGGGCTTGGCCTTCAAATGTATCCCAGAAATCTGGACTGAGATCAGTAAGAAAGAGACACTTAGCCTAATGAAAATATTCATATTGCTCCTGCCAATTCCTAGGGGAAGCAGCTTCTTTTACAGAAAGGACCATAATCTGAGGTGTACATTTCTAACATGCCCAACGTTGGTTAGAATGGTTCCTCTGCCTGCCCTCTCAATGTGGTAAGGACCATCAATCCTTAAAGATAATTTCAGTTATAAACATGTCGATTTCTCTGCTGCTGTATAAGTCTAAGCAGATCATACAAACTAGGAAATAAATTTCATTTCATCTTGGTATTGGGTCCCTCCATCCCTCTGATGAATTTAATTTGCTCAACCAGAAAATCCTGTAGCCTATGGGTTACTTCCACGGGAGTCCTGGTGTGGTTTAACGCACTGGACTGCAAGGTTGGTTTGAACTGCAAGGTCAGCAGTTCAAGCTCACCAGTCGCGCCTTGGAAACACTATACAGGGTCGCTATGGGTTGGCACCGACTCGACGGCACTTAACAACAACAACATGGGCTACTCCAGATGTGGATTCTTGCTCTGTTTTTGTTTTATTTTTCCCACTCAGTTGTGGGTATAAGACATAAAAACTCCATAGACTCCCTTGGCCAGAGGAACTTCTTTTTAAGGAGGAAGAAAAGTGTCTTGGGAGCCAAGTTGGTTGGTTCTCCCAGTTCCTTTTTAAAAAACTTTTTCTTGTGAATTGAGTGAAGGTTAATAGACAAGAACATCAGCTTTACATTCAACAAATTGTATGCTTTATTTTATCTCAATGGTTACAATCCCCTCCCTGCAACAACAGCGATCCTACTTCCTCCTTGTGCAAAAATATTTGATGTAGACATACAAAACAAAAAACATATATTCATTTAAGTGTCCTAAGGGCACATTCTGTAAGCCAGCCTCCAGCTCACAGGCACACAGCATTACTCAGTCCACAGGCCTAGAGGCCAAGGCTGCTCTCTCTCTCCATGTCATTGCCTCTGTCACTGTCTCTGCTGTCGCCACTTTTCGAGGTAAGATCTCACGCTCCACTCATGCTCTTCCTTCTCAATGAAGCTGACGGAAGCAGTAGGAATTCTGGAAAGTTTTAACTTATCTGCCACAGAGGGGAAGGTGGCAAGACTCAGGGATGAATTGGAGAATGTATGTGGTGGATTTGGAAAATTGAGGTTGAAGTAATCACTGCAATGAAATCTGATTAATATGATTCCAAACACATTTGCACCACCTTTTTCTGGTTATTGCTGTTATTCCAAACCAAAACTCACTGCCATGGGTTGATTGCTGTTATTGGTGCTGTGGGTTAATGTGCTGGACTGCAAAGCTGGTTTGAACTGCAAGGTCAGCCGCTTCTTGGAAACCCTATACAGGGTCACGTAGTGGTTACGAATCGGGATGCGAACCTTCAGGTCAGCGGTTTGAGACTACCAGCTGCTCCGCGGGAGAAAGATGAGGCTTTCTACTCCCGTAAAGATTTACACCCTCGGAAACCCTGTGCAGGGTCGCTATGGATCGAAACCGACTCGACGGCACTTAACAACAACAACATGGGTTGGAAACAACTCAATGACACTTAACAACAACAATAACAACTTGCTGTTATTGGAGTCCTGGTATAGTGCCGTGGAATAAGGTACTTGGCCACAAAGTCAGTTTGAACCTCAAGGTCGGTGGTTCAAATTTACCAGTCGCTCCTCGGAAACCCTATTCAGGGTCGCTATGAGCGAGAATCAAAGCCACTGCGTTGGCGCTTAACAACAACAATTGCATATCCCCAACTCCTAGAGGAATTTGTGCTATTTTATTAAAGTGATTTAGAATTTACCTCATTTGGATCTAATGTTGTTCCCTTCATTAGGAAGGCAAGAGATAAGGATAGAGTAGGTAGGTAATTGCCTGGGTTGAGGGAAAAGTGGAAAGTGAAGAAATCTTAAATGTCTCAGAGGCAGGGCTGCCAGGTCAAATATAGGCCTAGCTCAGATTTAGGGCTAGAAGAGAAACCTTAATACTCTACCCTCTTCATCTCTAGTCTTCCTTTATTCTCACAGGTTTCAGTCTGTGTAAAAAGCTGGAAGCATTTATAAACCCAAAGAGGAGTAATGTTAAGAATGAGATACTTTTCCAACTTCAGTACGTGTGTTCTCTCCCCCAACCCCATCTCAATTCTCATTTCCTTTGTCTGCCCTCTTTCCTTTGGCAATGAACATTCTCTTACCCTCCCCCATTCCTTCTCTCTCTTAAACTACCAGCTGGTTCCCCCACCCCCAACTTCTCTGGGTCTGCAGGGTATGAAGTAAGTATGGGTGAGAAAGGGGAGGAGACAGGGGTCCTGTGAAATGCTTTGAGCTCTTTCATAGTTAGGAGCTAAGCAGGACTCACAGTTACCAGAGAAGAGAAAGTCGGTGTGATTGAGATAGAAAATAGGAGAGGCAACTACAGAGAAGAATAGGCAAAAATGAGGGAGAAGGGGAGACAGAAAGATAATGAGACACAAAAGAGATAACTTTGGTGTCCCTTGCTGAGAGCTGATGAGTATTCACCAGACTTCTTGTAGGGTGGTGAAACCTGAGAAGTTTTGATGGTTCTCTCTAGACCTGTCCCACCTGCTTCCCCTTCCTCTCCTGAGTTCAGTTGTTTACAGAGATCCCTCCCTGAACTCTTGCCCTCCTGGACTTGCCCTAGCCCCAGCCCCAGGCCTCTGGCCAGGCAGACACCCTGACAAGTTACAAATGAGTGTGGGTGTTGGATTGCACCAAGCTCTTGTCTGAGGAGTCCGTAGGAGGAGAATCAATGGGCTTCTTCTCCTCTAGTGCCATCCAGAATCTGAAAGAGTGAGGATGGCACTTCCTGTTTCCCTGCCCCCAAACACAACCCAACAGACATACAAAGCAGAAAGGGATGACTGAGACTCCACTTGAGCATTAGAATTCAGAGCCTTAGGACCTTCACACTAATTCTTCCATTCTCTGAGTAAACACTCCTCAAGTCTAGAAACCTAATTGAAAATCTGAATAAGGACTGAGTTTATGGAATTAGGGTTTGAGAGTTTTCTTTCTTTTGGGAGGAAATGGACATAGTGCAGGAAAGAAGGATAGGAGGGAACGAGAATCTCGGGTCACACTAGTTTTAAACCCTTCAGAAATAGAATAAAAATCTCCCTCTGCTTCACCCCTCTGTAAATACCTAGCTCTGTGTTCATTGTAGCTCTCTGGAGGGATATAGGGAGTTATTTAAGTCTGAGTGAGCGAGCCAGCTACAGCTATGGATGGCTAGAGAGAGGATAAATACATCTAGAAAGATGAGTTGATGGATAGGTAGGGAACAAATATAAATATGGAGAGAGATGGACGAATGGAGAGATGGATTGAGACAGAGAGAATATAAAGAGAGGCTGAGGGAGAGAAATGGATGTGTGAATGAGGAGAGAGCATTTGTGCAGAGAGATGGAGGGAGGAATGGGGCGTTTCTCATCCTCCTCACATTTCTGTAGTCCTGCCTTGCTTGCTGAAATGTCAGTTTCCCACCCCACACTTTTAATGAAATCTTCATCTAGATTCTAGACTCTGCCTCACACCCTTAGGCGTCTTTGCCCTCCGCCCCCATCCCCACCCCCCAGCCATCCATTTGGCCCTAGATAACATACCTCAACCGCCTGTCCTAGCCCATCACCCCAAGACAAATTGGGGGAAGGAAGCACCAAGTGAGCAAAGTAAAGAAGGAGCCTGGATTCCCCACCTCCAGATCTACAGCCTTGGGGAGAAGGCTCCTTTGGGCGGTGGGAAGAGTGGGGGGCAGCTGGATTGAATTTGTCCAAATCTAATAACCTCTTGAAGGCTTTGGGGGTTGGGAGAGGAGGAAAGTCTTGAATATTCTTCTAACTTTCCCCCCCTCTCCCTCTGGTCCCTTCTTTCCAAAAGTCTTTGAAGAAAGATGTTTTTGACGCTTCCACGTCGCTCTCAGATGGATGGGCTGAGGGTGATTGAAGTGTCTTTGTCATGCTAATGTTTGGGGGGTGATGGATGGGCGCTGGGGCTGCCAAACTCTGGCCCGCTGCGCCCATTGGCCTGGGAGAGATCACATGCGCCCCCCCCACTCCCTACCCCCTTCCTAGGGGAGCGCTGGCCCAGGCGAGCTGGGCCGGGCCATGGATGTAAGCCTCAGCGCCGTGACATACTGCCGAAAGGTTGTAGGGCAAGAGGGTGTCTCCCCCAAACGGGCCGACCCTCTTGCGGCCTCGACGCATGGACTATAATAGGATGAACTCCTTCCTAGAGTACCCACTCTGTAACCGGGGACCCAGCGCCTACAGCGCCCACAACGCTCCTACCCCCTTCCCCTCTTGCTCGGCTCCCGTCGTTGACAATTATGCAGGAGAGGCCCGCTATGGCGGGGGGCTGCCCAGTCCCGGGCTCCAGCAAAATCCCGGCTACCCGACGCAGCAACCGCCTTCAGCACTGGGGGTGTCGTTCCCCAGTTCCGCGCCGTCGGGGTACGCCCCGGCTGCCTGCAGCCCCAGCTATGGGCCTTCTCAGTACTACCCTATGGGCCAACCTGAAGGAGACGGAGGCTACTTTCACTCATCAAGCTACGGGGTCCAGGTAGGAGGTTTGTCCGACGGCTACGGAGCTGGGGGAGCTGGCCCGGGGCCGTACCCTCCGCCGCAGCCTCCTTACGGGAATGAGCAGACAGCAAGCTTTGCGCCGGCCTATGCAGATCTTCTCTCTGAGGAAAAGGAGCCGCCCTGTCGCTCAGAATCCAGCCCCTCTACGGCGCGGACCTTCGACTGGATGAAAGTCAAAAGGAATCCACCCAAGACAGGTAGGGCTCGGGTGTGGCCGTCTCTCCCCGGGGCTCAGCGACTTAGCTGAGGTGTCCTGAGGTATCCTGAGCTCGGGCTGGTCACAGAACTGTGATCTTGCTAAAGGCAGGTAAGGGTTCTCCACTTCATTTTATTTAGGTCGGGGGGGAGGGGGTTCCCTCCACCCAATGACTGCCAGTCACCCCCAAGTATAAGTCTACACTCCTCCCGCCCTGATCTGTGCACCCAACACAGGCAGAGGGGCGCAGGGTGGAGGATGGAAGTGTGGGTTACTCTAGATTTGGAGGTGGGGGTGGGTTGGTTGCCTGGTGGTCCAGGAGGACTTTGAGAGCTGGCTTTGGAGAGAGTGATGAACGGAGACGCAGAGCTGGTGCAGGAGGAGGGGAGGGGAAATGTACAGAGGTGAGAGAACTGACGTGGCACATCTCTTCTCCCCGCCCCGCCCCTAGCCAAGGTGTCGGAACTGGGTCTGGGCTCTCCTGGAGGCCTCCGCACCAACTTCACTACGCGGCAGTTGACTGAGTTGGAGAAGGAGTTCCATTTCAACAAGTACCTGAGCCGGGCCCGGCGGGTGGAGATCGCCGCTACCCTGGAGCTCAACGAGACACAGGTCAAGATTTGGTTCCAGAACCGGCGCATGAAGCAGAAGAAGCGAGAGCGGGAGGGAGGCCGGGCGCCCCCAGCCCCACAGGGCTGCTCCAAAGAGGTGGTGGGAGACGCCTCGGACCAGTCGGCCTGCACCTCTCCGGAAGCTTCACCCAGCTCCATCACCTCTTGAACCCGACGGGACTTCCTGGCACCCGAGCACCCCAGTCCCTCCCTTTCTTCGGCTTTCCCCACCCGGGACCTCGACTCCATCGACCCACCTATTCTTCCCGCGGCTAGGGGCACCAACTTAGAGCTACTCTTGGTCGGGAGGGGGTAACACTTTTCTTTGGTCTGGGCAGGGAACTGATGGCTAGGGACCATATAGGACCAAAGGCTGGGGAGACCCTGACCCTATCAGATGTGGAGGGAAGGGCATTTGCCTTTGATCTAGGGATCTGCTCTTGGTGACCACGAGGATGGGGGTGTGGGCAATGAGTGGCGTTTCCATCCTCCTGGATTCTCCTTTCCTTTAGAACTTCCGTTTTTTCAGTTCAGTGCCTTTGAGCTTCGAGGACTTTTGAGAGGAATTCCTATTCTATTAACCTTCCCTTGGGACAGAGGGCTCTGAATTTTCTTTGGAGAGGGGAGGTGTTTGGGTGTCAATGTTTAATCTCTCTAGTCACCACTGACCTTACAATAGCACCAGCTGCCTTGTGACAGACCAAAAAGTTCCCTATCTAACCCTATTAACTACTCCCCACTCCTACCCCCCCAACCCCACCCCGCACATTTGTATTGCACTAATGCGGCCTCCAGGGGCTGTTTTCTGAGACCCACCTCCTCCCACCAACAACCTCATTCCCAAGCCACCAAAGTGTTTTGGAACTTGGAACTCCATAGACTCTGGACCGCTGTGTAAAGCCTGCCAATAGTGAGCCTGAACCAGAAAGGCACAGGCGCACTCCCACCAGATCCTCCCCTATTTATTGCTTCCTGGAAAACCCAGGACCCTCCTCCCCATCTCCACCCCTACTCCTGGGGCAACCCTGGGAGGCCCAGCATCAGGGAGTATTTCTCTGAACCTTGGAGACAACCACAGGACCTTTGCTTTTGTGGAAGCCTGAGCCTCAAGCTAACCAGGTTGGCTCTGTACTTCCAACTACCTCATTCCAATAAAATCTGTGTTTTCTTCTTTCTTGCCGTCTGGATCTGCTGCTCCACAAGGGCTGGGGGAGGCCTCATTCTCCCTAAGTCCTAGAGGACAGAAGAGGAAAGAGTTAGTGCTGACTTGTGGGGCTGGTGAAAAAGAATGATTACTATATGTGGGCCTAAGCAGAACTGGGCCCCAGGCATGCAGGCAGGACTATGGTCAACCTGCTGGTCATTAAGAAGTCAGAAGAAGACATGGAGGAAGATGACCTTGGGGAGGAGACAGTTCAGGGAGAGTCCTGAGAGGAAGGTAGAAAAGGAGAGCAACAGACATCTATCTGAAGAGAACAGAAAGAGGGTACCAGAGAGGAGGAAGTGGGGAATGGGACTCCACTCTCCTCCATCTCCTGCTTTCTAGGCCACAGCAAGGGTTGGCACAGAGTGGGTGTTCTGTAAATAGTTGCTGAAGAAAAGAAGCGCAGGTAGGGGAGGCTGGGTAAAGTCTCTCCACCTTCTTTCTCTGAGAAAGTTGGAGGAAGGGCCGCAAATTCCAGACGGGTGCACAGGTTCTTCTACACCCAACAACTCAGGGTGGGGTGGGGTGGGTATGGGGAGCCAAGTCACTGGGAGACTCCAGGTGTAGCAGGCCTGCCTGGTAGAATTCCACCAAGACTCCAGGTGATCGCCCTTCCTGCCCTGGGTGGTTGGAAGGAGATGGCCTCGAAAGTCCAGAAAGGATGGAGTGGAGTGGAGGTGCCAGAGAAGGCGCAGAGCGCGAAGCTGTAGGGGTGGCGGAGGCCTAGGTAAACCCCAAACCCGCATTGACCTTTTTACCTCCAAGTGCCTCTGGGCTTTCCAAACAAGCCAACCGCGCGCTCCGGGAGGCAGCTATTGTCTCCGAACCGGTCCCACTGACAAGCCCTTGGTTGGCAGAGGCAGGGGGCCCGCGGATCAGGAAGCTCGACAGCGGTCAACAAACCGCCATCACTCACTCGCCCCGCAGAGTAGTGGAGATGATCCTGGCCTCCGTGTCCAGGGCCCCAGTTGATTGATTCCGGTCACCTAGGGAGCAGGGGTGGGATTACCCAATAAACACGGTAAGCACGGGTTCATCTTGTGAAAGCATGATTTTACAGATTAAATAAGCACAGTAAACCCGTATTTACCTGGCTTACTATGTCCCTGTCAGGGATTGTAAATTTGAAGAGGCTTTGATTTTGTAAGACGGTGCGGTGCTGTGGGGTTGAGAGAGAGACAAATGCCAGCCATTATCTTGAACAGAATCTTTGATGTTATGATAAAAACGTGAAATTGTTTACTACTGAGTAGTAAGTAAGCACAAGTAAACCCGTGTTTATCTTGCTGACTGGGTAATCTGACATTGTTATTGGATAAATCAACACTGCTAGGGAGCTCTAATGCTCAAGGGCCAGGGCAGTCTGAGGTGTAGTAGTGGCCACCAAAGGAGGGGACTGGTTCTTGGTTCTTATCCAGTCTCTCTCCTCCCTCACCAATTTATTTAATTACTGACCCAACAAAGGAAAACAGCACAAAGGACTTGTAGTGTATGCAAGAAACACTGAGCATTCGATTCCTAATGAAATTGGTGTCCTTGTATAAGAGCCAGAGTTAGCAGGAGAGGGAGCAGTGTGGGGCAGGAGAAAGTCTAGCTTTCCTAGAGCCTGCTGTCTTGCTCTTCATCTTTAAACATCTATTAACTGCTTTTCTACATTAAATTGAAATTGCCACCAAGGTTGACTCCCCCAAAGGGACAGAGGGAAGAGACCAAGTGTCTGTGGAAATGCCACTCTTCTTTCTTAGAGCAATTGAGTGTGAGCCTGTAAAGCCTTCCTGTTAGGGCATTTGTGGATCCTCCAGCCTTTGGACAAGTGGGTAGGAAAGCTGGTGGAAGGATGGAGCAGTGATTCAAACTGGACCACAGTAATGGTGGAGCTGGGTCTTGACAGGCCCTAGGGGAGAGGTGATGGAAGGGCCTGGAGGAAAGGAATAGGCTGACCCATTTGATTTTTGGTCACAGCAGAAAGCACCATCAGATTCCCCTAGGGATGGGTGAGAGGCAAATCAATTCTCTGTTAACACAGGGGCAGGCTCAAAATATTCCACAATGAATCTGAGCCTTCCATTTCCTCAGATGCAAAGATCTGACCAGTTCCTTGCTCTGCGCTCTCCTACTTAAATCCCACTTCAAATCTGAGTCTTCAGACAGGTCTACACAGAAGACATTACGTTACTTGGAGAAAGAAAAGAGATCATTCTGTTTTCCTATAGTAAATCACAAAGGAGAGGATGGTAACACACACACACACACACACACCATCACCACCACCACCACCAAATCTCACTCCAGTTGAACTAAATTGAAGGTCTACACTGTCAAACTTTCCAGAGTAGATGTCAAGTGGCTTCACTCATAGCCAGTCCTTTCAAATAGCTGTTGTTTTCTTTCTTTTACAGTATATTAACTATGCAATCTGAAAACGCATACTCTGCAAAGTTTGAAAGCCCTCTAATCCCACATCTCCATTTACCAGATCTCAAAATGTATCTCCAGTTATAAAATAAAAATCTTAGAGATTTCTTTTTTTTTTTTGGTCTTGATTCTTCATGGGAGAGATGATCTTCTCAGGACTGGTGGAAAGTTTGCCAAGGTTTCTGGGAGTGTGTGTGTGTGGCGGGGGGGGGGGGGGGCCAGGCCCTTATGTTGGGGGTGGTCAGGCTTCTACTGCACTCAGCCCTCTGCATCATCTGTTTCTCAGCTCTTCAGTGTGAACTTTTCCTCTTTTTTCTCAGCATTTGTTCTCCCAATATGAGGTCCTTTGATCTCCTGGAGGAGAGAGAATGAAAGAGAGATTTAAGAAAAACCCCAAACTTCCTTTCATGACTCAACCACAGAACCCTGAAGTTCTTCTTACTTCTTTGTTATGAACATTTCTTCTACCAACATCACTGGGAGACTGCACCTGGCCCAGTGTAAGTAGGGAGACTGGTGGGGAAATGTCCAGGATACTTGGTTTCACAGCTGAACTCCACCTCTCACTAACCTCAAGGCCTAATTCCCTATGCCCAGTTTCATTATCTGCAAAATGGGAATAATAAGGTTGTTATGTAGATTAAATGAGTTTATATATTCAAAATACTTGGTCTACCCTAAAGTTTCTAAGTGTTAGCTATAATAATAATGATCATTATTAAAAAGAACGTGTCCTCTCCTGTAGTACAGTCTTCTGTCAATCTCTTCCAGGTCTCATTATGACCCTTTCAACACCAGGACATGGTACTCACTTCTCACAATTCAGTTTTCTGATTTAAAGTGATTAAGAACAAGGGTACTGGAGAATACTGTATCAATGTGGTAATAAGTTTCAATGTAGTCTCTTTCACTAGCTGGCTGAGTTTATGCCAGTTATTCAATTTCTCAGTGTCTCTGTTTCTTCAGATGCCAATTGAGGAATGTTGAAAAACAAATGAGTTGATTTTTGAGATGTGCTTAGAGCAGTGTCTGGCACATTCTTAACAGATCCATAGGTGTTCCCTATTTTATATATTCACAATAGATATTTATTTTTAGTTATTTCTTACACTGAGGTATTTATGTCTGAGCATGATGGAAGCAGACATCCTCCAGCCCTTGCCCCCCTGCACCACACGCACAAACTCACCTAATACTATAACTGTGGGACTTGTTGCCAGATAATAAAATAATTATGAATGAAAGGATTCAGCAGAGTCCCATAGAATACTGGCATCTAGTACAGTATTGTAATGAGAGATTGGCAAAACTCAAGTCTTATTGCATGACTGTAGTTTATGAAAGTCTTGCTTTTAGGAGTTGTACCAAATTGTTTCTAATTACCTAGTCATCCCTCTAAGGACTTCAACTTCCTTTCATGACTCAACCACAGTATTCTAGATACTACAGCTTTTGCTATTTCCCTGGCTCTCTAAATGCTTTACATAAGTGGAATGAGTCCTATCAGGGACAAAATTGGAGATGTAAAGTATTTAATGTCCATTCCTGGA